TAGTATCTAAATATGTATTATCAAAGCAATTGAACTATTGGTTTTTAACAAGAAGTCGAAAATATCACTTTTTACCAAAAATTACAAAAATATTCACGAAAATTAGAGAATTGAAGACATCATCACAAAATGAACAAATCTGAGAGAGGTCCACATGTAGTACCTATATATGTAATATCAAAGCAATCGGACTTGTGGTTTTTAACAAGAAGTCGAAAATATCACTTTTTACCAAAAATTACAAAAATATTCACCAAAATTAGAGAATTGAAGATATCATCACAAAATGAACAAATCTGAGAGAGGTCCTACATGTAGTACCTATATATGTAGTATCAAAGCAATTGGACTTGCGGTTTTTAACAAGAAGTCGAAAATATCACTTTTTACCAAAAATGATAAAAATATTCACCAAAATTAGAGAATTAAAGATATCATTACAAAATGAACAATTCTGAGAGAGGTCCACATGTAGTACCTATATATGTAATATCAAAGCAATTGCACTTGCGGTTTTTAACAAGAAGTCGAAAATATCACTTTTTACCAAAAATGACAAAAATATTCACCAAAATTAGAGAATTAAAGATATCATTACAAAATGAACAAATCTGAGAGAGGTCCACATGTAGTACCTATATATGTAATATCAAAGCAATTGCACTTGCGGTTTTTAACAAGAAGTCGAAAATATCACTTTTTACCAAAAATGACAAAAATATTCACCAAAATTAGAGAATTGAAGATATCAACATGAAATGAACAAACCTAAGAGAGGTCTACCCAAGGTACATATACACCAAGTATCAAAGCATTCAGGCTTGTAGTTTTCAAGAAGAAGTCGAAAAAGTAAAACATTGACACGGACGACGACGACGACGGACAATCACTCATATGATAAGCTCCGCTCGACAAAGTCGACGGCGGAGCTAAATATACATTTGATTAAAAACTCAAAACATGAATGACACAGACCTCTAAACGTTTAGAGATTTGATAACCTTCTGGGTCAGTTTCCTGCCCACCAGGCCATACAATGTTTAATTTTTTCGTGGTATGAAACGGCCATGTTCCAACCATTCTGTCTTTTCCATCAACAACATTAATGATTTCATACTCAGCAGACGTTCTATCTCCATTCTGGTCAAATTCAACAGTCCCAGTCTGACCATTCTGTAGAGATGCCTTCAGAAGATATCTACAACAGAAATACATAATTAAGATTTTTGAATATTAAACAACCGCTGACACAATCAGATAGTAACATCAAAGTAAAACATGTCAGTCATATTGTATTTATCTTCAGCAAAAAAAAATTATGGTGAGTACACGTCTATAATTTTATTAATTTATTTTGACACTATATTTTAGCCTTTTAGATACAAGTCTCTCTATTTAAGGTAATTGCAAGTTATCTTGTAGTAATCCAATGAACAATTATGCTCTGATATTTCAAGTTCACTGAGCACTACAGAAGAAATAGTTATATGTTCTTTCCAATTGGATACCCAGTACCCTATAATTAGTGCAGTGAATAGGTACTGTTTCTCTCACTGCTGAGTGGGCTGCTAATCACAGGAGTTAAACCCATAATCCTCCTGAGGGTAGACATGCTAAAACACTGTGCAAAAATGAATAAGTGATTGCATTATATAGTCTCTGTGAGTTCTCAAGTTTAAGAAATATGTAAGTTTGAACATGAACATACAGACTGCATTCACAAAAACAAAATGGCCACCAGTCAAAACCAATCAAAACAAAATTATATGAATTAAAGTCCCATAAAGTTCAATGAAATCTGGTTTCGCACTAGCAAAAATGTTTTCACAGAGTTTATGACATTAAAATGGCTGCCATTTGGCCATCTTGGATTGAATTGTCTTAAAAATGTCCTTATGTGCTACATGATGTATGATGTACATCTGAAAATGTTTGATCAGGGACAGCATTTGTGAAAACAAAATGGTCACCAGTCAGCTATTTTGAATCTGATCTGAGAAACAAAATGATGTGCATCAAGTTTGATCAAAATCTGTCCATATATTTGGAAATTGAGTTCAAGAATGTCAGAAATGCTTGATTTTGACAAATTTTTAGCCCAAAAATAGCTAGCCATCATTTGGCCAACGTGAACTGAATCATGAAACAAATGAACATGCATATGTTGGCCAAGGTGTGTGACTTATTTATGAAGTTTGAATACGATCAGACCAGGTATATCTGAGATACAGCTGATGTATGAAAACACACATGCACACACAGAGGTCCCATAATATGTCTGGTGTAAATTTGTACCAAGTTTGAACAAAATCCACCAATACACATCCGAAATCTGATTCCAGGATGGCAGAAATGTTTGATTTTGATGAATCATTTCGTCATCTTGAATTGAATCATGAAATGAATGAATGTTCATATGTTGCACAAGATATGTGATGTAGTTGTGAAGTTTGAATGTGAACGGACCAGGCATGAAGGCATGCATGATTCATAAATTTTGATTATAGGTAGTGTGTAGGTTTCTACCTTAAACTGAATTATATTAAGTGACAAACAACGATACACAAAAATCATATATTCTTATGAATCACTCACTTATAAAATTGTGGTCCACTTGTCCAATATTTCTCAGTGCCCCGACAACTGCTTGGTGGTCTTGTAATATTATTATTAGAATTTTTGTCAAATAATTGTTCCACTGCTTGGTATATAATATGGATAGCATCATTTATGTGAGCCACTTCATTAGTACCATTAACAAGTCGAAGACCAACTATACCTGTAACATATCAAAACACAGCAATACTGCAAAATCTCCTCTGTAATGACCAAATCAGACATATTCTCTCCCATGATAGTATATTTTCTGCTGCTTGTATTCTGGCAAACTATCATATTTTTAAAAT